ACGTCTTCTTGATGTCTGCCAAAAATGCGGTGAAAAAAAAAAAACAACAAAAAACAGAAAATTATAGAATTTGGAATCTTTAATTCAAACACTATCGCAAAAATACTAGACCCAGAAAATAGCACACCATCAAAGGAATATTTAAATGTTCCCAACTCCGCAACCAAAAATAGCAAACAGAACAATGTAAATGACCTGATTTAATACAAAATAAACGTTCAAATAAATTAGCATCGTCTAGATGTCAGGCATGTTAGGGGAAAAGTAGAAAAGTAAACGAAGAAAGATGCCTGTGTAATCGTCTATTACAGTCATTAAATTTCCTTCAGTATTTAGTTTGAACGTTTCAGAAACAATGCCCAGCTCCCTCACTTTGCACCATTCGATGACTGTCTGCTTCCAAGGAACGACATAACGTCTTGGCAAACTATACCTTTGTTCTTCTCGTTTGAGAGAAAGAGCTTGATGGACAGCAACTGGCAATCCATCTTCGATGTGTATGTGAGCAGAAGTCAGAGCTACTCTTCGCTGATGTTCATGGACTTTTATACATGGGACTGCATAACCATAAAAAAATGATGCTTGATGACCTGTAATTCGCTTTCACGTAGCTCAGGTACCGTGCAAACACATCGCTGTATGTCACCTTTGTCAACCACTTCATTCCGTGGAGGGGAGCAACTTCATCTAAAATATTGAATCAGGTAACTGAGAATCTGTTACGTCAGTGGTCAGAGGATGTTTCAGGACTGCATTGTTTGTCTTTGGCTCTTAAAATTTTTGAAAATTCTAGTTAGAAATGGAGCGAGTTCGAAGAACGAAGTCACATTTTCGTATTTTTCCAGCAGAACAACCAGCCTTGAAAAGAGAGCATTAGGGTCAAAAGGAATCTTTACACATTTTTTCCAGTTCAACATGCGTAAGCTCTTGATAACTTCTCTTCAGTGTGCTCTCTAAAAAGTTCACGATGTCAAGCTTCTTCTGGATAGAGTTATCAATCTCCTCGATGATATCCCAATTAATTCCAGCACCATCGGGTTCTGTCAAATCAGATGATACTGATCATCGTTCTGGCTTGCTTGTGTCAAAGGGGTTGTGCCGAGAGATCTAAATGAAGACACAAGTCATGCCAACAAGATCTTTCTTCCGATGTACGTTTTTGGGCACCTCGTTTAGCAAGCTTGTCTTGCTAGATCAATTACGACAGAATAATGACTTCCATACTCACTGGAGCTCCATACTGTCGGTTTTGTGCCACATCTAAGCTACGCATAGAAAATCATTTAGGGCATCTTGGCGTGGTGCAATATTTAGCAAGGTTGTCCCGCTAAAACAGTTACGACTGAATAGTGAATTAGATCGTCACTGGGTGAACCATACTTTCGGCATTGTTCCACATATAAGCTATGCTTAGAAAATCATTTTACAAAATAAATATTCTCTTCCGAGGTGCTCTAGTCATCTCTCCGTGATACTCACTAGTTCTGTGAGCAAGACCGGCCAGTGTTGTCATAGCTTCATGCACCTGGGCGGAGGTATGTATGCGATGCACAAACATCAATCTCACTGATTCCGTAAATCCACGTCCCATAGTTAGCCCATCTCCACTCTTCATGAATCTCATCATCACATGTTCAATAATTAGGTAAATTGACAAGCCGGCCCAGTAACGGTCACTGAGTCACAGAGAATGAAAACCGTATTCTGACAACTGTTGATGCATCCAAGGATGCTTTTCAGGCAGTTCTAGCATCCATTGTAGGTACAATCGTGTACTCTTTGCATAGTTGAAATACTCGGTTGCTGCAAATAAATTTAGCGTCCGTCTCACTGCCACAAGTTGCAAATTCCAGTTTCCTTTTCTTTTGGCCCTAAGAAGCAACGTGTCGATGTACTCAATGTAGGCCGGCCATAACTTTGCTGTTCATGATTTGCTCCTGCATCATGCATCAGATTAACGATCACTCTCTGTAGCTTCACGTAATACAGCATGACATTTTCATCAACAGCATTCAAGAAGAAAATTTAAAATACAGGCATTAAACAAAATTCCTGTATTCCTTACCATTCACATTGGATTCTTCACTCTTGTTTGTTCAATCTTGGTTCGTTTTTCACATGACTAATCCAAAATAGTTCAAATAAAGTTCGCGTTCAAATAAGTCTCTGTCTATTGAATGCTATCTATTAGCTGATACTATTTTATCTATAAGAATTTGAACCAGTTATAGATTATATTGAACAATCGGGAAACATAACCTCAAATACTAAACATTAGAAATTGACATCATAATGAATAACTCGCAAGACGCATTCGAAATGAACTATGCTTGAAATCCACTTACAAGTGTAAACTAATCAAGTTACTAAGAACTACGTGTATAGCACCTGTTTTGCAAAGTGGTGCCCAGAAAAACAGCCGTAAAAAATTCCTCAAGGTGGAAGAGAAATGAGTTTTTATTTTCTTTCAGGGTATAAAATCCCGCTTCTTATGATACAAAACATGTCATGGTAACATTTTTTCACCTTATATTCACTCTAAATAGACCAGGTATTACGGCTTTTCACTTAGGCTTGGAATCCGTTAATTTCTTGGAAGTTCGAAAGGTCGCGTCGTCTCTCCTTGAATTCGGATGCCATAAATTATACTAACGCTTGTTTACCAAGTCGAATGCACTTGAAACATTATTAACCAATGAATATCAAATAACAAAAATATAAAAATACCAGTATTTTTCGTCTTTTTCTTCATATCTCATTATCTGATGAAGCTTTAATAATAAAAGGGAAACATTTTCGATTGATAAATGATTGATAAATTATAAAACCGAATGTCCCCACAGGTATATATATATATATATATATATATATATATATATACATACCTGTGAGAACATTCGCTTTTATATTTAAGACAATATTAATTTATACTTTTATGCCTTTTATATATAGTGAAGTGATATCATCATTATTAGTATCTAATATAACGCCAAGTAAAGAGATTCTCATTTTAATGTTGACTGCATAAGTGAATTTTAAAACAGAATTACTTTCAATGGTTTCTTTAAGATTTTTAAAATTCATTTATGTTTTCATTTAATAGGAAAATGTCATTATATTAGGAATATATTGAAGGTTTGTTGAAATTGTTAAAGACCTTGTTTTCTACATGGGTTATGCAGAAATTAGATAAAATGGGACCCAGAGTTAAGCCCATAGCTACGCCGTTAATTTGTGTGCAAATGATCGTAAAATGGTACTTGTTGCTGCATGATTGAAGTAGTTTACGGAAAAGTATTTGGTCTAAGATTAAGGGGATGTTTCGTATTACTATTTCTACGATTTATTTAACGAGAACATTAGTAAACAGACTTTCAACATCTAACGAGGCAGGGATGTCATTGTTAGATTTATTAGAATGCAATATGTCAAGGAATTGGTTGGTGGAACGGACGCTATGTTTATTTAATTAATATGGTTGGATCAGTTTGTTTAGAGTTTCAGATAAGTTCTATACAGGCGCAGGAGTTTGAGAAATAATGGTACAGAGCGGTCTGTTTGGTTCTTAGACTGTAATATTTCCGTAAAAATAAACTCTATCGTCATTGGCAGAACTCGTTTCCAAGTATTGGGGTGCACACAGTATTTTGCTTCTGCGTGAAATGAGTCCGATGTTGGATCTGAAGAGATGTCTGCAGGCACTACATGGTAGGGTACAAGGATTCAGGGGATGAGGAGTTCTGGTTTTTACTTCCGGTTCTCTTCGTCTCTTCCATTTGTCTTCTGGTGTTTTTGAAATATTTTTTTTTTTCGGAGACTGCAGTTCTCCAATTGGTTCTTACTGCAACTTCAATCTCCCAATTGATCGGACGGATTTCTGTCATCAGCGAGGTGTTTTTGAGGAGATCATTAAATCGACGACGTTGGGCTGCACATGCGAGCTCCGAGAAGACGATTTCTTTGGGTACGCGGATATCTGGCATTCGGATAATGTGTTCGATTCATGGAAGTCAGTGTGTAGTCATAATTGCTACAATTTTGTCACGTTTCATTGATTCTATTTCAGCCTTATTTGTTTTTTTTTAATCTGTATATTTGAGTCTTAAGAAGGTTCGTAGTATTTTTACTTAATTTCCTTAATTTGTCTCTAATATTTAGGTTTGAATTTTTTGCGGTTTTAGTGACATCCCTATTTAAAATAACAAAAATATTAGACCTTTCAATTTTTCTTATTATAACATTTTTGTTTACATTAAGATCTTTATAGGTCTTTGTTAAATTCTTACCCTTTGATAAGATTATTGATATCTTTTATGCTTTCCGCTTTAACTAAAGATTTTAATCAAAGATAAGTTCTGAAGAATGATCTTGTAATTCGAAGATTTGTTTGTGCAATATTTCAATCGCGGTTTTTTTTATATTGTCATCAAAAGTGGAGTTTCATCCTGGATTGAGTAATTCCGTTTGCTCTTTAGAGAGTTGATCGGCCGAAAGATTAATAATATCGTCTTTAAAATTAGGGAGATATATTTTGTCTTTATATAAATTATTCAGCTTTTTTATCAAACATTATTTAATGCATGACGTGTTCCTTTTTAGTTACATACGAAATAAAATTTATGAATTTCTGGAGGTTACCAGAAGTAGTAGAAAGTCTGTCGTTAATTTCATTTATTTCAGCTTGGCCGCTTTTAATGTGATTGCTTGCTGCAGGGTCATATTAAAAACACACACACACACGCACACACACATATATATATATATATATATATATATATATATGAGATATATATATATATATATGAGATATTGGGTTGACTGAACTTTTGGAAAGATGATATCACAAGTGTTGCTCAAACTGCTGATCATAGCATATTATACGCTTTCTCTCAGAAACTGTAACGCATAGTTGCATCTATAAACACACCGTCGGTATTGAACAAACACAAAATGTGCGTGAGCAGGTGTCTGCAACAGGGATTGGTTATTGGTTAGCCGCCCTGGCAGACGGGTGTACTCGGAAAACGAGAGAAGCCGGTCATTATATGTATATATATATATATATATATATATAGATAGATAGATAGATAGATAGATAGATAGATAGATAGATAAAAGTGAACATAGAAGTCAACATTTAGAGGCGACAGTCTGTTTCATTCTAGATGCAATATATATATATATATATATATATATATATATATATGTATACGGTCGATCCTTGGTCAATCTGGTCAGCAGCAACCAGACAATATGACCCTTGCCACACGCTCAGGCTCGTAAAACGATGAGTTGATTGTTGGGTTAATACCACGCTTGAACGATACTGTCGCTGGTTAACGGGTCGTTGCTTGATGCCCGCCCCGGACCATATCCTGCTTCACCTCAGCTGGTAGGGATCGGTTATCGTTAGTAATCGTAGCGTTGGTTTGTACTAGAGCGAACCTGTGTTATGAAGTAAAAAACTGAAATATCTTCGCAGACGAAATAATAACGAACGTTTCCTCGGGTTAATTTTTCATTTGGCTTATGCAGTTCTTTCTATAACAATAATTATTATTCCCAATAAAATCTCTATAGTGACACTTTGCCTATCGGTGTTTATTTTGGGAGCAGGGCTCAAAGTCGGGGATTCTCTTGGCAGCAAATCACGTGGATCTCAGTAGCACCTTTTTCTGCTCTTCGTTGATGTTTTCTCTCTCACCCTCTCTCTCTTCTCTTTCTCTTGGGTCGCTTAAGCGCTCTGCTTGTATTGAATTTCACTCAAGACCGGAATGCCGGCTGACGGTGTTTGGGAACTTGGGGGTTTCTTATTCGATTTGAAGAGTTCTTTGTTGTCTGCTTCGCAATAGTAATTCCTTCCTACGGATCATGAATGCAGGTATCGTCCTACCCATATCATAACTTCTCTTATTTATACCTCGCACCGTTACTTCCAGATAGATGCATGTAATTTCTTCTTCTCTCTTAGTATTTCATCTAAGTCCGCCACTTTGGCTGTTTGACAAATCTGATTTTTAAACTGAGGGAGCGAAAAGGCGGTCTTACCTCTTAGTCAATAATTGTAATTATCTTAATTTTCAACAATGAATTTTCTCAGCCCCTGGTCTTGTTTATGCAATAGATTTACCAGCTGTTTTTCTCGATCCGTTACTAGCCAATGTTTGTCTTCATGTCTTTTTCGCTTGTACTTATGAACCTTTACAGGTGCGTTTTGTATCTCAAAGTGTTTGAGCAAAGAATAAAAATCTTATTTCTCGATTTGTTTTGATTTTCAAAATCGCTTAAGTTATTTACGCTCTTTGACAGGCGAGCATAAACTATTTTCTTGATTCTGCGTTCATTTTCAAAATTACACAATATTATAACGCAGTAGACCCCTTCTTCCGTCTAGCAATCATGACACATGTTTTCGTAACTTCCACTAAGCAGATATAACTCAATTTCTCTATTTATACTTTCTTTTCCAAAATTCTAAACTAACTTCGAATGTACTTTCACTATTCTTTCTCAGCCGCCGTTGCTTGAAATCTCACATATGCAACTTGAAAAATATGTTTTCCCAATACCAATAAAGTCATTCTTTTCATGTATATCTTTTTTTCCTTCCATCAGTTTATGTCATGCCGGACTTTTAACCCTTTCTATCTGTTCCAGTTCATATTCTAAATTAACTCTTTCCTTTTATCAGTGTCATCTAGTGTCACATATATTTTAACGTATATATTTTGGGCAGCAACATTTGTCTTAAATATCTTTCGCGAAATATGACAGACAAGGAACATTTATTTAATTTCTTTATTTAATTTTTCCAGCGTGTTTAAATTTTTCTCGTTTGGTTGGAGTGTGGGAGCGCTAAAATTGTCCATATTGTCCATTGTCCCAAACGCTTTCGATCACATTTTTAGCCATTTTCAAGGGGGTGGAGTTCTTTTGGTATTATTTCTCTTCATGTTTTGACTGTTATTTTTGCGTTGTTTTGAATACTATAAGGAGCGTTTACTTCAAGCCTCCACACGTTGAGTACGGCTGAAATTCAAGCATATATATATATATATATATATATATATATATATATATATATATATATGTGTGTGTGTGTGTGTGTATGTGTGTGTGTGTGTGTGTGTGTGTGTGTGTGTGTGTGTGTGTGTTTGGGGTATTTGTGCATGCGGAAAGAGGAAGACATTCGTCAAGAACTAATATGAGTCGTTCTGCATGCCATTTGTCTGTTTGTATGCATCCTTTTTTAAGGACAGACACACGCACACAGTAATAGACTTATTGACTAGATATACTGAAAATGATTGGCTGAATTATTGGCAGAATATGAAATTGCTAACTGACTTTTGTTGCAAAATGAACATAGTTGTTTGATAGATCATATTGTCTTCTTACATCAACACACACTCGCTCACTGTCTCCTTTTTCTGTGCCGCATAAGATGACGTTTTCACGTACAAAAGAAACACAGGTTTACTCAGAAAGACAAAGAGACAATTGAGCCATCAGCTTGTGTCAGCTAAGAACATATGTGCGTGAGTGTGTGTATTTAGGCAACATATCTTCATTCAAACATGTTTAAATTTGCCATTTTAAAATAATTATAACAGACAACGTTCACACACGAACATGCGCGCACAAAGACACAGACAGACAGACACACACAGACACACACACACATATATATATATATATATATATATAAATAGATAGATAGATAGATAGATAGATAGATAGATGCTAATATACAGGTTGACTGAAAAGTAGCTCCCTATTTTATGCATATTAGATTCTCCCTTCTTGTAAAATGATAGACGGGGGAGTCCATCATACATAAAACAGTGAGTTACATTTCAATCACCCTGTATATGAGATGGGATGAAATATAGATTAAATATGGATCAGAATTCGAGAGAATGATAAGATAAAAGTAATAGGAAACGTTTATCAGCCTTTTATCAATATGATTAAGCTTTAATAAAAGTGAACCTTAGATTAATAAGCGTTTTTTATTTGTTCTTTATCTTATCATATATATATATATATATATATATATATATATATATATATATATATATATATATATGTGTGTGTGTGTGTGTGTGCCTGTGTATGAATATGTGTATATATCGGAAACGGTTAGTCCAAGGGCCTAGCCATATTAATTCTACTCATATGAAAATATAGGTCATCGTTGTGGGCGTAGAAGCATGATTGTGGGCTTGGATTTTTTATATTTAATAAAGAGTGGAATTCAAACATATTTGTAGATGCATTTTCAAGTAGCATTAATTGTTTCCTCGACTGGAACGTTCGTGCATATGTTATGCCTACGTTAATTTATTGAATCTGGGATAGGATAGGTCCTAGTGGTATTATGCGCGCGGTTGTGTGTGTGTATGTATGTATGCGTGTGTGTGCGTCTGTAGCGCGTGCCAGCTGGATAGAAAAATCGCTTTGCGACAGCCACGGGTTGACCTAATCCATTCAAAAATTGTTGTGTTAGCTCAAAGTCACAAGTCCTATGGACTGTGGCTTTGAGTTTATTGGCCTTGTTCAAACTGCGGATCAAGTAAGATTGTGCACTCCCTTCCAAAAATTGTTACTAAATTCCTGTTAGCCTAGTTGCAAGATAACCGCAGGTTGGTTCTCTGGGCGTTGGACAAAGTCAATGTGCAGACATTGGGTAGCCGCCCTAGAAAATGGGTGTGCTCAGGAATGAATAACTAACGATTATCTCTTAAACACACACATACACAAAGACATGCCCCCGCCATATATATATATATATATATATATATATGTATGAATTTTGAAAAAGTAAAGTTAATGTCTACCGGCATAGATATAGAAAGTTCACTATAAAAAAGAAAAAATAACATATACTCTACGTTTTTATGTGAAGCTAATAATATCAGTTTAAAAACTCTCTCTCTCTTTCTCTCTCTCACTCGCTCTCTCTCTCTCTCTCTCTCTCTCTCTATATATATATATATATATATATATATATATATGTATGTATTTGATAATATCAAATTCGTAAGTGGTAAGTATTTTACCTTTTGTAATTTTGGTCTGATGAGGCGGATATTAAAATCTTATCTGTCGAACTAAATTTGCTACTAACTTTTTTACTTCTTGGTGTATATACATACATACACATATACACACACACACACACACATATATATATATATATATATATATATATCTGTGTGTGTGTACATATAGACAGAGAGAGAGAGAGATTGAGTGTGTGTGTGTGTGTGTGTCAGAGAAAAATATAATTTTTAATCTGATATTATTTTTCTTACAATAAGCGTTACTTAAAAACGTTTGAGTTTCTATATCTCGGCCGCTATACATTAAGTTTACTTTTTAAAAATGATCTAGCTAGAGCAGCACGTGTTTTCGCTAAACATAACGGTTATATTACGAATGCTACTACTACTACTACTACTACTACTACTACTACTCATATTAATCGGGGAGGAAAGTGGGATTGAGGCCGTGGCGTTCGCTTTCGCACACATTGTAGAAAAATATGTATCCACCTCTTTTCCCTAGCTAATGTTTAATATCATGATAGCCTTCGATCCGTAACAATGGTTTGCAACCAGCCTCGGAGATGATCAATTCAGAACTCTAAAGCGGTTGGGAATAGGGGGTCTAGAAATTCCATTAAACTCGACTGGAATTGAAACTCGGTTCTCCGATTAGTAATTCCTAGTTATTATACATTGCATCACCTGGACATTCAAGCTTACAGCACCTGATATTCCCAATTGGTCACCTATCTAGGCGATGAAACTAAATTTCGGTGATCGTTCCATCAACGTCATGGGGCCATAAGCCATAAATCTTCTGGTGCCAAACTTTGTCGAGAAGAATACTAATATGTCTTAAATATTGATATCTTAATATTTTAATGTTTTAAATATTAACATGTCTTAAAAACCTGATTAGAACTTAAAGAATACTATGTAATATCTTTCCCATGTAACAATAAATACTAGAAAATTTCTTTAAAGATTAAGAAAATAATCAAACTTGTACAGATGTGGTTCCCATAGACAGAAGATGATAATTCCATGGACAGACCACGTGAACAACGAGGAAGTTATAATGAAATTTGAAACTAGAACGACACTCATACTTAAAATCAGAGAGACATCAAATATTTGTGTGTGTGTGTGTGTGTGAGCATATAGACAGAGAGAGAGAGAGAGAGAGTGTGTGTGTGTGTGAGAGAGAGAGAGAGAGTGTGTGTGAGAGAGAAAGATAATTTTTAATCTGATATTATTTTAATATTAACTGTCCCTTATTTCCTCAATCTGTTCCGTGTGTATCAGATTTTCCAAGCCATCCTTCCTCATTACGTGTCCCAAAAATTTCAACTGCTTCTTCCTAATATTAAGTATATATTTCCTTTTTGCTTCCATTCTTTTCATTATTGCTCACATCTTTCTGTAGAACTACATTTATGTCACTTGAAGTTTCTTCTTCATCTTTGCGGAAATTCTACAGCATTGCTGAGTATTTATATTTTAAAATACCGGGTCAGTTTTTTTGTTTTTTTTGAGAGAAAGAGAGCATTTGCAAGAATTAAAATTAATTAGTTCATGAAAGAAAAGCTTTATTTGAAAAAAATGGCGCAAATTATCTTGGCAATCCTTTTATAACACATATTCCATGAAACCACTGTTAGCATCGATGGCTCTTTCGATACGGGGTCGAAGCTTTGACATGAATGTCGTTATCAATTTTGGACATAGTTCTGATTATG